CTAGGGCTGGGGATTTAGCTCAGTGGTTCCAGTGCCTACCTCGCAAGCGCATGGCCCCGAGTTTGATCCCCGGTACCAAAAAAAAAAAAAAAAAAAAGAAAAGCCTATCAGAATTAAAGCAGACTTCTCAACCCTTAAGTCAAAGAGATCTTGGAATGAAGTATTTCAAGCCCTACAAGAAAACAACCTCCAACCCAGATTGATGTAGTCCACAAAATTGATGGAGAAATAAGATACTTTCATGATGAAGAACACCTGAAAAATTCATGACCATTAAAGCAGCACTTCAAAATTTTCTGAAAGATATTTTAGAAAGAGATAATGAAGACTACGATTCTATGAACCTTAATAGAATGAATTTTTGCAAGGCAAAAAATTAGAGTGGAAAGAAAGGGAACCAACAACAGGAAAATTACATTACAAGTATAAGTCAGTACATATCAGATATAACCACTAATGTCTCAATTCACCAATCAAAAGAAACATTGGCAGAATGGGCCAAGAAGCAAGATCCAACAATATGTTGCATACAAGAAACACATTTAATTCAAAATGAAATTCACAGACTGAAAGTCAAAGGATGGAAAATAATACTCCATGTGACAGGAACCCAGAAAAAAGCAGGGGTAGCTATTCTATTTGCAGACAGTGTGAACTTCAAGCCAAGACTGATCAGAAGAGACAAAGAAGGTTTTTACATACTTGTTAAGGCAACAACTCCAAGAGGAAGAGATAACAATCACAAATATATGTACACCAACTACCAGCACACCCAACTATATAAAACAAATATTAAGAGACATGAAAAATCAAATAAGCACTAATACAAGTGTAATAAGGGACCTCAATATCCCACTGTCACAAATAGGCAGATCAACTAGATAAAAAATCAGTGAAATATCAGAACTGAACCAAATTTTGAACAAGTGGACTTGGTAGATGTCTACAGTGTGTTCCACCCCATAACACACATTCTTCTCAGCTGCACACGGGACATTCTCCAAAACAGACCACATATTAGCTCCCTGAACATGATTAAGTAAATGCAAATGAATGGCGCAGGCCATGGTCACAATCTCGCTGCTTGACCCAGCTCCAGTGAAACCGAGACTATGGCTGAAAGCACGACTCTGTCTTTTGCTTTTGGTTTCCCTGGTAGTGGTTACCTCGGTGCTGTGCTCCCCGGGAGATCACTGAGAGGATGAAAGTCAGTGCTTCGGAAATGGTTACTAGGCCGGGATGACAGGAAGAAATTGGAAATCCATTTACAGAAAAGCCCCTCACTCCTACCTCCGTGAGTAGTGGGGACGTGACCTCCATAGGCCCTGACTGCACAAAGGGAGGTTGGGACATCTACAAATTCAGGACGCAGGCGCCCCACTGTCGGGCACCTGGTCACCCTTGGCCAACACGCGCAGGGCACACAACAATGAGATCTGACGAAACTTGGCCTAATGAGGTAGCCTGACCTTTTAAAAATGCTTCCTGTTCCTCAAATGCAAATCTGATAAATTAGCAAGCGTTCACGTAGCACCTGGAAGAGTATCTAGAACTGGGTGGTCTAAAATAGTTTCTTAGATGATGCCAGCTTTTCTTCAACTCTGTATGAAAACACACTGTGTATGGACCCACGTGCTTACCAAAGCCTCGTGTAATCAAAACGTATATAAGTAAAGTGATTCCGGTGTAACTCAGACGGGCAAGCTGAGCTGCCCACCCTCCACTCAGGGTCTGTCTCATTCTCTCGTCGCCGACTCCACACCTCCTCTCAGGACCTGAGCCCCCTGGAGCTGGACTCTGGCAAATGAATTCAAAATTTTTCCCATGCATGTTATCAGACTATCGTGTGATGAAATTGGAAATCAATGGCAAAAGAAACCACAAAAACTTCATAAACACATGGAAATTAAATAACACCTTCCTGAACAACCAGTGGGTCACAGATGAAATGAAAGAAGAAATTAGACAGTTTCTACAATTAAATGATAACACCAGTACAACATACTGGAACTTATGGGATGCAGTGAAAGCAGTCCTGGCTGGGTGTGGTGGCACATGCTTGTAGTCCCAGCACTTGGGAGGATTGCTGTGAGTTTGAAGACTGCCTAGGCTACATAGGGAGTTCAAGGTCATAGCCAGACCTGTCTCAAAAAAAAAAGAAAGCAATCCAAGGGAAATTCATAGTGGTGATTTCCCACATCAAAAAAAGAGTGAGCTAAGAAAAAAAAACCCCAAAAAACAACAACCTAATGTTGACACTCAAGTTTGTATAAAAAAAAAAATTAAGGAGCTAGGGATTTAGCTCAGTGGTGCCGCCACCTGCCTCTCAAGTGGAAGGTCCAGAGTTTGATCCCTGGTACCAAAAAAAAAAAAAAAAATCAAGTCAAAACCAGAGAAGGATCCAACCAAAAGAAGATCTGACAGGCCAATTTCCTTAATGAGTATAGATGCAAACATCTATAAGATACTGGCAAACAATGCAGCAAATCATCAAGATGATTATACACCATGACCAAGTAGGATTCATCCCAGGGATGCAGGGATGGTTCAACAAATGCAAATCAATCAATGTAATACACCATATTCACAGAGCCAAGGACAAAAACCATATGATCATCTCAATAGATGCAGGAAAAGCATTCGACAAAGTCCATCACCCAATCATGATAAAAATCCTACAGAACATTGGTATAGATGGTCTTCCTCTCAATTTGATAAAAGGCATCTATGACAAACCAATAGCCAACATCATTCTAAATGGTCAAAACCAGCTATGTTATTACTAAGCTTAGTGGTAAATGTTTCTATTATTCCTTTGTTCCTTGGTGGTTCTCATTTTCATTTCAGATTTTCATTTGTAATATATAATTTTGTATGCATATACGTATATTATAACCTATATATATGTACATTATAATCTATTTGTTTTGATACTGGGGATTGAACTCATGACCTTGTGCTTGCAAAGCAGGTGGGGTGCCACTGAGCTAAATCCTGGCCCCTATTTGTTTTAATTTTAGGAGTATTTCATTTTGTTTTGTTTTGTTTGGTACCGGGAATCAAACTCAGGGCCTCGCACTTGCCAGGCAGGTGCTGTGCCTTTGAGCTACATCCCTGGACCCAGAGTATCTTGTTTTTATACATATTCAAATTCAAGCAACCACCTAGATTCTGTCCACTTTTTCTTAATTTTGTTAGTAAAAAGCTCCATAAAAGTGATTAGATCCATTTGTACCATCAGTGATGCAAGCTGCTTGAAAGGTGCTGGTCCTACAGGCCTGTGTCACCACACCTGGTGGGGTTGCTTTAAACTGTTGAAAATATTTGGTGCTTCTTTGTACCTTCAATGTACTGCTTTATAAAATCCTTTCATATGTTATTGTTTCATATTTGTTACATATTATTCAACTGTGTTTTCTTTGTTTTAAAAAAATTCTCATGGTAAGTTACTATCAATTTTTATTATAACACAATTCAAAAACTAGAAAAGTCAAGGAAATATTTTAGTGAACTCTTACACACCCATCACATAGCTTCAAATGACCAGTTTATATCTGATCTTTTGATCTTTCCTCTATAGTCTAAGGCCTCTCCAGTCCTCCCTCCTCCTTGTCCTGGTGGTGGTGCTGGTGGTGTGAAATCACACATTGTAACCATTTGTTCTACCACTGAGCTACATCTCCAGCCCAAACACTCCAGTCATTTTGAAGCAAATCTCAGACGTTTTTAAATTAATCACTTTGGATGTCTCTAAAAGAAACTCTATAAAAGATTTATACATTTAAATATTTAATCCATTTGGATTTTTTTTTGGTGTTTAGTGTTAATCCAGGGATTTAATTCTATTTCTCTTTTCAAACAGTTGTCACCAAACTTAAATATATATGTTGAAGAATTTAACCTTTTGTCCATTGGTAAGAAATGCTACCTTAATCATATATTCACTTTTCATGTATTTGAATCTGTTTTTGGATTTTCTGTCCCATTGATGTTTTTCTTTTCCCTCACATCATGATATCTGGGCTGCTGCTTTTTTCTTTTACTTTCCCTAGCACTGGGGATTGAACTCAGGGTCTTTGTACTGAGCTAAATCTTTGGCTCTTTTAAAAGATTGTTTTTATTTTGAGGCAGGTCTCACCAAATCATTCAGTTGCCCAGGCTGGGCTTGAACTGCTGCCCCATTCTCCCAGAGTTCTGGGATTACAGCTGCAGAGCTCCATGCCTTGCTCTGGGGTTCTGTTCTATAATTTAAAACAAAATTTTATTTTATTGGTACATTTTAGGTATACAATATAATGACATTCATCCTTGGAAATGTGCACCTTTACAT